TCAATATTTTTATAATAAGTTTTTTTTAATATATAATTTTTTTTTTTATTATATATAAAAAATTTTTATACACATATAAATTTTATATTTAGTTAATTTTTTTATTCTTTTTATTAATATTTTTTATTTTACTTTTTAATGAATAATTATCAAAATAATATATTCTATATTTTTTTATTATCCAAAAATTGTTTAGATTATTTGTTAACATCTAGTAATTAATTATGATAAATATAATTTAATCACATTAATTTTATAGAAATTTATATTATAATATGAAATATAATATTTTTATATTTTAATTTTTTCAATTAATTGAAATTTGATATTAAATTTTTTTTTATTATTTTTATTCATTTTATTTCTTTTCATTTTATATATTTTCTTATTAATTTTAAACATCTTATTTTCTTTTTGGATTTAAAAAAGGATTTTTTTCATATTTAAATTCAATTTAGTATTTATTTATTTTATTTTTTTCTTTAATACTTTTATTTCTCTATATAATTTTCTGTTTTAAATCATCTTTTGGTTATTTATATATATTTTATATATGTTCATTTTATTTAATCTTTTTTTTTAATATTTCTTCTAAATTCTACTCATATTTATTTTACTTTATATTTGTAATTTATTTTTAATTTTATACTATTCATATAAAAAAATAAATTAAATTAAAAATATGAAAATATAGTTATTTTAAAAATATTTTTTTTTTAGAAAAATAATAAAATATAAATAAAAGCTTTACTTGATCTTTAAATGCACTAAGATGGATATTTAGTTAATGAATGATAAGCTTAATCTCTTTTTAATCCTAATTAGCAAAATCTTTTTAAAATTAATATGTAAAAGTTAAGAATGTATATATAATTACATATTAATTAAATCAAAAGGGGATCTATGATTCATATTACAATAAGAGTCACTTGATATAATAAAATTTTTACCTTAAGTTGATTTTATAATTCTCATTGAATTTTCTAAAGTTATTCTTCTTTTAGTTTATTCTAATTATTTAATTTATTTTTATAATTTATTTTTTGATATATACCTTCAATTGCATTTGAATATGAAACTTCAAAGGTTATTCCTTTGTTAATTGCTTCTTAAACTATACTTTTTTTAAATTAAATATTTATTTTTTAATCAATTTAAAAGCAAAATATATCAAATAACTAATATATATATATATATATTTTTTTTAATATAAATAATATATGGCGTATATATATTATTTTATTTTTATTTACATAATCTTTTGTGCATAAACTCTCGAATACTTTTTAATTTTTTGTCTATACTGCTATTAAATCATATGTTTTAAATTATTATTCGTATTCTTTTTTAAAGTAAATTAAATTAGAGTTAGAAATATTTATTTTAATATAAATTACTAATATATTAATTTATTCTTCATTATTTATTTCTAATGTAATTCTGTTTAATTATTTAAATTAATTTAAATTAGGTACACATTTAGTCATATTCAAAGAATTCTTAAATTCTTCTAGAATCATATTTTTATTTAATTATTTAATGTTACAACTCTAATTTTAAAATATAACTTATTTTATATATTTAAATATATTTATACTTATATTTCTTCATTAATATCGAAATGAAAATAATTAAGAGCAATGCATGAATAACCATCTATTTTTAGATTATTTTTTGTTGATTGATATTTTTTTTTTATTGATTAAAATAAATATAAAGATTTTTAATTTTTAAATACCTTCAATGCAACTTTTACTAATTATAAATAATTAAAATCCGATGTTGAATTTAAAGTATTAATACATCTCAAATTTAGATCATAATACATCAATATTAATGTTATTTTAAGATAAAATATATAAAAATAAAGTTATATTAAGATATTTTTTTAATTTTTATTTTTAAATATTAATAAAAGTATTTAGTTTCTTTTTTTAATAAAATTATAAGAACAAAATTAATGATTATAATAAATTATATGTTATTAATAATATTTTTTTTATTTTATTTTAAAAAACAAATAATTAGATCATTAGACTTCCTATTCAAAGTTTTCTTAATATTCCTAGTAATCATCTTAGTATTCTTTTTATTAAACAAATTATTTTTAATCTATTTATTATTAAATTTAATATTAACTAATTTCACTTTTTTATTATTAATGTTTCTGAATAATTTCCTCTCTATTTTATTCGAAATCTTTATGATTAAAATATTCCAAAAGCTTTTCATAAAATACAACATCTGTATCTTTCGACAAATCATATACTTTACTGATTATATAATCTAGATGTTTTGGGGAAACATTACATTCTGAATATTACATTGATTTTAAAAATATTTCATAAGAACATATTTCTTTATCCTCTTAACTCAAATTTTTATTTTTTTGTTTTTATTATAATTCTATATTATCTTTAAGTGCTGCAATATTTTTAGTAAAAACCTTTTTTTTGTTTAATTTATTTAAATTTTAAATATAAAAATAAAATCAACATTTGAAATATCTTCATATAGTTAAATTTCATCTTACAAATTAATAATATCATATTTTCCGACTAAATCTTTAAAAACAGACTTTATTATTTTTAAACTATTGGTTTTGTTTTCATCGTAATGTACTTTTTCTTAAGAATTATCTTCTATAATATACCTTGCGATAAGGGTTGTATTTTCATCATTTAAAATACAAAATGGTTTACTATTTTTTTATTATTTTAATAATAAAAAGTATAAATTTTAATTTTATTTTATAAAAAATAAACTTATTTAAAATTTATTTAACTTCATATATAGACAAATTTTCATTTTAAGATTTAAATAATTGA